TTAGGGTGGTATCGTCCGCATATCTGAGGTTGTTGATGATTCTCCCTGCACTCTTAATTCCAGCTTGTGATTCTTCCAGCCTGGCATTTTTCATGAAGTATCTCATGATCTCATGATCTCTCTCATGATCCTCTGATTACAGTGGCTATAACATGAATGCTTTGATGACCCACTGGCTAACTCCTCAAAGCACCCCAACTCTCCCGCTTAGCTAATTTCCTCGTATTTTTAAAGACTGGGGAGCTATTTCATTTATTTATCCATTCATTTATCCACTCTGTCATTTAATTTATCTCTCCTCTTTCTATTTTTACAAACAGTATATGGCAAAATCTCTTTTAGAAGTTTTCTTCCATTAGCCAGCATCTAACCTTGGGCTACAATTCCATTATTTTCAGGTATTTCAGACTCTGTGTGGCTGGATCCTAACAAGTGAAGGTTGTTTCAGTCAGTGAAACCATTTGATGGAGTTCAGCAAAACCCTTGCTGGTCAACAGTTTTAGTGGTGAATGCAAAAAGCTATTCTCCTCCTTAAATCATTCATATGCATATTGCTTTACTTTCTTTGAACTCCTTACGTGTACCGCAGATTGTAAATTAATAATATTCTGCAACTTTGGACAGAACAGAACAAAATAAACCTTATTACGGTCAGTGACCAGTACAAAAAAAAAAAAGGAAAGGAAAATACAGCAAAGTATCCATGTACATATAGATAAATAAGTATAAAACTGTTGAGCTGATCAAGTTAACTAAACATATAAAACTTATCATTTATAAAAGTTATCTACTCTATTTGCTATTTTGCAATCCTTGATTCGCTGCACCTACTGTAAGTGTAAGTGAGAAAAATGAAGACCTCTGAACGTTTGAAGTAGAGTTATCCTTCAGCATCTGGGTTGCTCACAGAAGGGGCAAGTTAGAAGAAAGTGATTCTATTGCTCTCTTGCCACATGGACAGTGTTTCTAGGTTTCGAATCTTCTTATATCTGCCCTCCAACTGCACAGAGGGAAAAGCATTAATGTGTGCCCCGGAAAAGGCCCATCTGTGTTTATAAAAAATAAGATTTTGTAAACAACTGGCTAGAACACCATTAATGTCTTCCACCAACTTTGGCCAACTCCTTCTGGTCTTCTATATCTGCTATCTTTTCTTTGAGCATTTTCATGGCATCTTCACAGGCAACTTTAGATAAGTGATTTTTAAAAAGGGAGGTGCTTCTTCCTGGAGATGATGCTTTCCTAACACCTCCCAGTTGGAAT